GTTATGCGATTCAAGAAAAATTCACAACCTGACTCGTGAATTCCACGTTAAATTTCACTTGAAAAATCGATATCGCACTCATCGCTTCGCGATTCGTGCGATATCGGTTTTTCGCGTGAAATTTAACGTGGAATTCACTCGTCAGGCAGTGAATTTTTCAATAATATTTCCAAAATTCCACGGTACTTTGAAAAATAAGACCCGAAACCTTTGAAAACTCGTTAACAGTTACCTAAAAATTGAAAATTGAAATATATTTCATTTTTGACCGTGACCGCGATTTTATCAATTTGATTGTTACTTTTGTGCATTTCCTTTAAGTATTCTTTGATGCTTACGTTGCTACTTGATCGACTGTTGAGGTTTCTGCGTTCTTGAACTCAGATCAAACTTTTCAGTATTAAAATACTTTTGCTCGTAAAGGAAACTTTGGCAAGATTTCCATATAACCCATACATTAATTATGCATAGCGTGTTGCAAAGAAACCTTTTTTATGAAATAGAATGCATAATTAATGTATGGAGCTATTTGAAAATATTTCCGAAATTTTTTTATTCAGACGTTACTGTTGTATGTAAACGTCAAGCAATTCGAGTAAGTCTCGATATTTTCTTCAATTTATTTATTGTTTTTTCCATCAAAATCGGATCTGAAGACTGAGGTTTGCGACTGATACGACAATAACTAGGCAATATTTCTCTTTTTAAGATACTTTTTCTACAGGTTTACCTTCAGTCTCACCAGCTTCATGGAGTTTTCTTGAAAAAACCTGAATCCTTTGCGCAAGATCCACTCTGCCGATCGCTTTAAACCCATCATGTAGCAAGGACAGATTCTGTGGACCAATGTGTACATCCTGCTCGAGTGCTTCAAATAACTTCAGTCCACTTTCCATGTTTTCTGTCAATCTCTTGGGAAGGCGATCTCCTACAGCATACTTTAACCTCTCCAGATCCTTGCTAGACAGTTCCGTCGACATATCTATGAGAAGTCTTCTGTACGGACTTATACAGTTTTCGTCTTGTGCGGAGGCCATCTTCCACACACCGACGGAAGCAAAACAGGGAGTTCCTACATCACGGGCAACAAGCCGGGCTAAAAATATGCCGACATATGAGTGGTCAGCGGTGAAAGAGCTTTAATATGTCATGTAGAGACAAATCAATTGTAGTTGCAATAATTTATCGTGTTATTAATCGCGAAATCTGAACAAAAAACTTGCTAAATAACAAGTTAGGCAATTTTTCAAAAGCTTCGACTACAAAAATATTCTTTACTGCTCTAATGAGCAACAAAGGTATCGGGAAAGACGTAAAAAATTATATTTTCGTTTGGTAACTTGCGACGCGACGAAAATAAAGTCTCTTGACTTCCGGTTGTCCAAGATGTTAATCACAGTTCGCGATCTTTTCACTTGATTTTTGCAATCTCTATTTCTTTTTCCCGAGAAATGAAAAGCTAGCTAATCCTTGCTACTCCCTGTATTCCAATCTCAGCAGTTGATTTTTTCTGATATTCAGCAAGTTTTTTTTATAAATTCTGATATTTTTTAAATCTTAGACCTTGTTATACCAGAATAATCCCCGGTTGACTTAATTTCTCTTTCTCCTTATTTGTACCCTTGACAGCTGTGATTAACAGTATTTAACAGTATTAAAAAGGTACAACACTATCAGATTGGAAATTCCCCAAGGGAGGTTTGCCGCAGGGAACTAAATTAGGAGTGATACTTTTTACAATAATGACAAACAATTTTATAGCTGATTGGCATCTGAGAGTCAAGTTTGTGGATGACACGTCTGCCATAGAAATACTACCCAGGAACTCTATCAGTCTGCTCAATTCGATCGTATCTAACATTCACAAATTCTCTATGGATCACAACATGAGACCAAACCCTATTAAATGTAAACAGATGTCAGTTAACTTTGTTATGTCCTAACTTTACTCTAAGACCATTATTTACACCACTATAGAAGGTGTATCGACTTACCAAGACTCTAGGAATATTTATCAGTAGTGACCTTAGGTGGAATAGTCATGTTGACTACATAATTTTATAAAAAAGCTTGCAAGAAGCCCTACTCCCTATGTACTCTATGTCGAGCCGGCGTTGACCGAGGTAGCGCGTTAAAGGTCTAAAGGTCGGTGTGGCAATCCATTCCAGATTATCTTTCTGATAAAATTGAATCCATACAGAAAAGGGCACTTAAGATAATTTTCCCGTGTGTTGATAGCTACTCAGATGCCCTCTGAGTAGCTATCAGCACATGGATGGAGACCCTTGCGTATAGAAGAGATAAGATATGTACTCAGAGTATATGTGCAAAATGAAGGACTTAACAACCCTCTTCATTCTCTTCTACCAACATGTCTAGACGATACCTGTCCCTACACCCTCAGGCACAAATCAGACCAGCTGTACCTTTACAGAAATATTACTACTTGTAGAACGAAGCGCAACGAAGACTTATTCACTTTTAAGCTGCCGGATTAATATTCTTTTGTTTAAATTTAAATTAGCCCTACGTGCCTCGTTCTCCAGTACAAAATTCAAAAGAATACATTATCTCAAGCGAGGCCAGTAGGGCTAATTTAAATTTAAACAAAAAAATATTTATACGGCAGCCATTTATGAAAGTGGTCTATTATACTTGCCAGTGCTACAAACACATTGAAAGGCTAATTAACTAAATACAATAAAAAAGATTTAAATAATCATCATTATCATAATGAGGGGGGCTTTGGGATTTTCGGTTTTGCGGTTTTGACTGTTTTTTGGATCGGTTTCTAGGTTTTTGGGTAAAAAAGGTTCGGTTTTTTGGTTTTGATTTTCAGAGCGGTTTGCAGATTTTGCGTGTTTTTGCATTCGGTTTTCGCGAAAGCTCTGATGCAGTTTTCGGTTTTTCCTTTTTTGACCGCTTTAAAGGTGAAAATGTAGCAGTTTTGTCAGGCTTGCATGCGGTTTTCGGTTTTGCTACCTTTTTTCGTCGGTTTTTCGGTTTTGGAGGTTTTTTTCTCCGGTTTGCGGTTTCTTAGAGACCCCAATGCCCCCCTCCATAATCGTCTGCATCATGGTAATAAAATGATAAAATTTTAGGAAGAATCATGCCTGTTAATGATAACAAAAACTATTAGCGATTTTTTTTAGTAGCACATACCCAAATTTAGATCATCCAACATCTTGGTCTGTCGTTCATTTCGCTCAAAACTTTCGCCCAGTCAGTTTTAGGCGCTTTACAAGGTGGTCGTCCTCTACCTTTGAAGCTGACCTTTTCCTTTCACCTACTGGCTTTCGTTTGCTGACTTTGCTCTTTTGCTGTTCTTCGCCACCAGCAACTGCCGTGAAATTGATCACCGGGGAATCTTTCGAAAAGACGATTTCCTTCTTAAGAACATTGACTGAAAGAAAAATAATGACAATAAAATTAATTAACCAAATAAAAATATTTTGACTACGTCATTTTTATCTTCTGTCTATCTACGTTGACATTTATATTGGTGTAATTTTTTTCTGGGCAGTTTCAAAACCCACTCTAGTCTCTTTCGTAGTCCATAAAAATAAAATTTAGGTTGCTTTGTGATGAAATTGTTGTGCATGTTGTTGAAATATTATTTATTGAGGGTTATTTATATTATTCATATATGAGTAATTACTGAAATATTATCAGTGTTATTTATATCATTGTTACATTGTGTGTATGATTTTCTGACCTGCACTGTAATTCAGCCCTGCATGCAAAAGTGTTGATTTAACATATATATATACATATGTTATATGGGGATGGTAAATGTTTTTGCAGGGGGTTAATCTATTGATATTTTTAGATTTGAGGCCTCTCCTCCTCATCTGTGGCTAGGAGTTTTCTTTGCGACACATTTGTGACAAATTTTTTTGTCTTAAAAACATTTGTGGCTCCATGAAACAGAAACAACTTTTCTTGATTGCTAAGCGATTGTTAGTTTTTTATTCATAATTAGGCGGCCAGATTTATGGCTAATTTTATTTCCAAGTGGGAAACTTCTCAAACTTAGAGATTTGCATACAGCTGTTAAAATAACTGAAAATAACCAAGTTGCATGTTTCATGTACCTTCAGCATTGTGAAAATTTCCAACCTTAGAAATTTTTCTTCCAATCCTCTCAAAAGGTGATTTGCAATCAATCTCTAGAGACACAGGTAACAATGGTGAAAGGAACAAATGCTGATGAACGAACAAAGGAAGCTAATGAGGTATCTATTGTTTATGTCCACCAACATGGAGGCAATGATGTAACGTGCAAACCAACTATATGTACGGACCTCCTGCTCGCAAAATCAATTTGGAATAGTTATGTGAGGCTTATCAATGTCAGAGGGCTCAAGGTTGATTCTAAACTAACATGGCTACCTTCCTTACAGTGTGGGGCTTTTTGAGGCTGTTGTACATGCTCATGAAGTGTTTCCTTGATTAAGGGCTTGGGTGCTTAAAGGAGGGGGGCTTGTAAAGAAACAATCAACTTGTACTGATTCTGCTGTAGTTGAAGCGTAAAGAGTTGTAAGAAAGCTGGCAATGGAAATAAGTTTTTCTTGTATCCCTTCTATCAAAGAAAATAATGGAGGAGGAGGGGTACCCTTATTCGAGAGGGGCGCTTGTTTGATATTATGGCCAAAGGGGTTGGTGCTTTTTCGGGGAAGGGCTCTTTTTAGAACAAAGAATACAGTAATCGTAATCTTGAAGTAGTGTCTAATGAACGCTGTTCTTTTGCTTTATAGTAAAACAGATTTAAAACTGAACTGAAGAAGTTGTTCAAAGAGGCCAAAGTGGAATCTTGCTTTCAAGATGAATAAAAAGTTTTGTTCGAGAGAAAAGGTGCTTTCATAATGATTTTTTTAATGTAGATGGAGTCCACTTTTCTAAACAGATTCTTTTATTCTGGTAGTTTTACTCACTAGTTGAAAAAATACTGCAAAATTTCTCTGAAATGAATCGGCGTCCAGCTACGTGAGTATAATTACCACAGTTTACGTCTTCTGTGAAATATTACTGAACAGACTATCGGCAACATGGAATTTACATGTGTTAAATAACGAAGAAGCCGGCAAAAGCTTGTTAATGGTAACGTCGTCTATGCATCTATCCTCTAATAGATCATAGGGAAGAACCAATCAAAATGCCTGTATTCAGCTTTTTCGACACAATTTGATGTCGTCTGTTAACTAGACAAACCTAAAGGCAATTAGAACTGATCTACTTATTGAACTGACTTCAGTTGAAATCGATTCACTGTCTGCCCTACTCTTGGACAGCTGGTGGAGTCAGCGTTGATAACGGTTTACATTCACCTCTGGGGAATTCCAGATGTTCTTCTCCATCTCTAAAAGGACAGATATATACGAAAATAATTACAACCTAGAACTTACAACCTAGAGTCAGCTAGGGCTGACTGTTTTAAAATGTTGGAGAAACCCACTTTCACCTGCTTTTCCTTCGTCAAGAACGACGGCGATAAAATGCTTTCTAGACCATTTTACACTTAGTTATTGAGAGCTCAGAGTTAATTTTAGAAGAGGTCTTAATTAAATAACCTTCCAATGCGGGGAATATTTTTAAATATTTAAAAAGCCGATCGCGAAATAGAGCGCCGGCTCATTTCCAAAATAGCAGCTGGTAGTAAAGCCATGGAGGACTAACTATTCTGTAATAACTGATCCGTCCTCTCAAGAGCTAAGTAGAATATTACCTGGCCACAAGCCTTGTAATGTTGTAGCACCTGATCTCCATGCTGGATCCGATTTTACGATACTGACACGGTCGCAGCAATCCAATCCTATGGAGAAAGAGCACAAGATATTCCAGGACACAACCATTTTTATGACTGATGATGTACTATTCAGAATTATAGCAATGAAATATCGCACGGGGTGATCATCACAGAGGCAAAATAAAGTACAAAATAATGGAGAGGACTGATTAACTTGAATTCAAGGAGATGCCGCAGAGTGAATTATTCACGAAAAATACAACACGGAATAATATACATAAACGCGGACAACTCTCCCCTTCCTTTCAGGCCTCATAGCTCAGTCCGAAATTAGTTCTCCAGTTCTGTAAACGTTGCAATGGATCTCTTCAGCTGCTCTTTGAAGTTATTTACCCCGCGCTCTTTGTACTCTCAAATCTAATCGAACTTAATGACCCTAGAGATATTTCAAGAGATCTGTTTATTTTGATGTCTGTTTATTTAAGGAATACAAATGAATAAAGGCTGATAGTTTCTAAAGAAACTTTTTGGGGCTGCGTCGGTGGGAGTAATTAAATAATTTGGATATATCAACAAAGTTGAAATGGTAAATTGGCCACCGTAACGATTACAAAAGCTGACGTTTCGAGCGTTGGCCCTTCGTCGGAGGATGATGATCTCAGCTTGTTTCTTTCTAGTGAAATAGAAATCGAATCAAAAGATCTGTCAAAAAATTTCTGGATGCTCTCCTGCACCACTGATAGTTTATATCAGGGTCTTCAGCGGTGCTAGGCTGTCGCTCAGCAGAGAGAAAAGAAAGTTACTTGAGTATCAGAAGGGGGCTCTTTTTAGCTCACATGTTCTTAAAGATTTTTTGGCGAGAAGTCATTACCTGATAAAACAATTTTCTGGCGGGGAACCAATTGTTTGCCATAAAGTGAACGAGGATTCGAATTAAGAAACAGAACCAATTAAATTTTCAGTGGACAAGTCTGAGTGTTTAGATCTTTTTCTTTTCTTTAAGTCAAATGACACGAGCGAGAATAATTTACGGTGAAAAACATTCGAGTCATTTCAAAATATTAAGTAAATGAATGAAGATACGAAAAAAAAATGAACGAAGAAATGACTAAATGGATAGATGCAACACTGAAAAAATAATTCGTTAAGACGGGAGGCGAAGGATTGTAAGTCAAACATCCCCTTATGTCTCCCCTCAAAACCATAAGATTGTCAAAGTGGTTTTAATTGATACTAGTGTCTAAAGATACTTCAAATACGATTTTCGTGTCTCTCCTAATGTAAACCTTCATAGGAAATGATCAAGGATTGCACCGTTAGCGTTTATATCCAAATGTTAAACTTTCTCCGCCTTTCGCCTTGTTGTTTGCTCACCTTCGCAATACGGCAAGATCTCCAACCTGTTTAAAAGGGAAAATAGATTTGTAAACATACAATTGTACCCACGTCTATTCAAGTATAACTAACTTCATATAGAAATTTACGTTCTAAACAAGTTCGGACTGTGAATACATGAAAATCATAAATGTGAACTGCGGATTAAGAAATGAATATGAAAGCAATCTTCGCATTAATGAACACTACTTATAGTAGTAGAGAAAAATTCAGGCCTGTACGAGATTTGAACCCATGACCTTTGTGATACCGGTACAGTGCTCTGCCAACTGAGCTAACAAGCCTTCTGGGAGCTGATCATCAATGAGGTCAGTCAATGCCAGTTATCTTGAATAAATTAGATGCATTCAACATTTTGTTCTTTCTGCCGCTCGATGTTTAAAGAGAAAAAGCGTCCTAGCTTAAAACGCACGTCTGTAGCAGTTCATGCACCTAGTAATATTCTTAAGGTCGTGATACTCCAAAATCAGCTCTCCGAGTAAGAACTGGAACTTATTATTATTTTTCGGTAAATGAGGACATGAAAAATAATAATAGCTTCCAATCCTTACTCGCTCGGAAACCTGATTTTGGAGTATCGTATTAAGGTCATGACCATATTTTAAACGTTTAAGTGTACCTCTGTGACCAGTCGTCAACTGCTGACCAAATAGGTGTGGGCGAGTCGGTAATGCCCTGTAACAAGGTCTCTTCGCCATACGGCGGGGCGTGGTGAAATGTCTCGTCACCCTAAGTGAACAACCCTGTGAAATCCCGTAATCTAAATCAGAGAAAGATAAGGAAAGAGTTTACTCCGCCAACTACACTTTCACTGATAGGGTGAAGTTGCCGAAACGGTAGCTTACTTCCACCACTATCACCAAGCATTATAACTAGGACCAGTCATTATTTAATGTACCACCGGAGATAGGCAAATCTTACAAATATATTTTGATAGCCTATATTTGTAATTTTTAGAAGGGAATATTACCAGAGTCATGACTTGCTTGGTGTATAAAATTGATTATTTTCAAGTTCGGTCCATGGCTTAGTCTGTTTTCAATTTTGCAATGTCTTTGGGGAGGAATCTTAACGCGCTACTAAGTCGTTCGTGGGCACACCGGAGTGAGCACACCAAAAGTAAAGATTGCGTCGGTTTCACAGGCAACAAAATGGCGTCGAAGAGAAACATGATGTGAGCATCATATATTTGGTCACATTAATTCACCTGCAATGAAATGCAGTAATAAGTTTTGATTTTTCAAAGCAAGTGTGTAACGCAAGTTAAGGAATATATCATGCTTTATTTAAAATAGTTAATGTATATAATTTGGACCTGTTTTGTGTTTCGTTTTTGAGAAGCAGGATTTTAAGAAAAAGTAGCACCATTTTCAAAAACAAGCATAAATTTGGAAAAAAAGAAACCCGGGTAATGCGAGTAGCACAGTATATGCTACTTTTAATTGCATAATCTATGAGGGCCTAGCCGTCGGGGAGAGGGAACCTTAATTATGATACCCTCTCATTGGCAGCTAAATGGCCGTCAATCTCTATACTCTCCTCTTTGCACTCTTTTGGCGATGACTGATCCTCCTCTCTGTTCCACCTGAAAACCATGTGATCCCCTGCAAATCTGCCAATGCTAGATGCATAATATGCTACTTTTACTAACACGTTTATATCCTCCTTCCCCCTCCCCAGAGCAATAAATAGTGACCGGTCCCTGGGTAACACTGTTACTAATAAAGAGAGACTTTCTTCAGGGAATAAAATCTATACCCTGTAACGGACCCGTGTCTTGATCCGGATCAAACTCGCTTCCATCTAATGCAAATGTAAGCTTGCACTCATCGCTGTTATACCCTTTTAAGATCTTTTCAACCAAATCCTGGAATGTTTCTTGGGGATCACATTTCAAACGGAATGATAGAGAGTTTGAAAAGCAAACGTTGACTTCGATGTGAAGAATCCTTACTGTCAACCCAAGCTTCGATCCAGAGCAAATACCAAGGCTTGCTATGGTTCCTTTCTCTTTAGAAGGACAGAGTTGCTTTCCGTTGAAAACAAGTGCAACCTCTTCGTTCTCCTGCAGTTTATTGAACGAAGGAATTTCTTCCATGAGCTCCCTTAAGTTCTTTTCTTTGTCTATTTTCAAGGAGATTGAGTCGCCACTGGGATATTCTACAGTTATGTGAATGTACTCGGGGATAATGACACTTACTGCGGGACGTAAACTGCAGATAAGTTTAAGAGGAAGATATTTACTTGGTGTAGCTGACAGGAAGTTTCTCTCATAGTACAGCTCTTGGTCCCTGAGGGAGATTCGAAGCTCTCTTTCTATCTGTTCCATGAGATTATAGACCCTTGCCTTTCCGGGATGCACCTTTACTGGAAAAGGCAAACAGGAAGATGGCTCGGCTGTTACTGTAATTGTTATTTCTGCATCTATTAGTCTCAAATCCCCAGGTCTCTCAAGTATGCTCCTAGTCCAAAAAAGAAAAGAAATTGACTAACCGGCCTCCCAAAGTATCATCTTTTTTGGGTCTTCATATAGTTCTTACCTTATACGTGTATCGTTTGATAGCTGGACCTTGTCACCTAAAACAAGAACTTGGTAGGGGTCATGCATAACTTCCATCTCGTGCTGCAATTCATGTTTCAAATCACCAATAGTCGCCGATGGAGGCATGTTCACATTAATTGCTAAAGAAGAGTCAGAGATGATCACTGGAATGTTAAGGTGTGAACACACACTTAACAAGACCATTTTCGGGTCGGCCAGATTCAATTCCTGCTTCTTTCGGTGCAGTTTTTATTCGGTAGAAGGTGAACCTCTTGGCTTCATAAGCTGATCTTTCGATTGACATCTCCTCTCCTCCTTTTAGAGCCCATTTACCAACATCGTAACCATCAATAGTTATGTCCAAATGACAACCTGGAAAAAAGGCACAAACAGTCATTAATTCTATATAAAATCGAGGTCATCATCACAGAGTATCAAAAAATCAGAGTATCTTCAATGCAAAATGAAACGTTTGAGAAACGAAAGGAACTAAAAGAGCGGTAAGAAATTAACTTGATTAATTGTTAGACTTGTAGAACATCCATCGACCCTTAATTTTTGCGTCTGAGCTCCAAATAACTGTCTATTTTTGAAGTACAGTAAAGTTTTTCTCGTGAAACTGTTAATGTTAAGAGAAAATATATACCCATGTTATGATTTTATGGATGCAGACTGCTGCAGGTCTACGCTTCAGGGGTACGAGGTGACATTTATGTGAACCATAAAATGTGACAAAATCATAGTAATCCATTGAAATCACCCATTATGTTGCGACTGAAAAACAGTTTCCGAGCTCTCTTTCATCGAAATTTTGTATAGCGATAAGGTTAAAATTGTTTTTAAAATTGCTCTGTGTTTGCTTTTACCATATGCATGGGTATTTATGACGTGTATTTTCTACTGCGTCCCACTCTTCATTTCCACAAATTCTCCCTCAGGGGTCCTATAGTGTTTTCCTCTCAGGATTGCTGCTGAGTAGCCCTCATAAAACAGAAAGTTGACGTATCGAGCAGGTGCCGGTCCTACAGCTGAATCACCCTGGAGTTGAGCAGACGATCCAGGGGTGAATGCTTGAGAAGGTGCGGAGGAGGACCTCACTGATTCCGAAGAGGAGACTGGAATTTAAAGAATAAAACAGTTTTGAACGTACAGACAATGCCATGTTATGATAGAGCGCATTTTGATTGAGGGTGAGGAACACCAAAACTACAGTGATAACAACAGCCAATCAGAATAAAGGAAAACATCATAAATTGAGAACGCTAGCTGAAAAAGAGAAAACTGCCAAAAACGCGGGAAAACGCGAGAGATTTGGACGCTATAGTTTTAGTTTTGAATCCATGGGTTGAGAAAGTGGCGCGAAATTTCTTGACCAACCAAATCGAAGAGAAGCGAAACCAATGCAATCTCGGATCACTTTGAACACTTAGTTGATAACTGCTCTAACCTGCTGTTCACGAAGCATACAATTTAATTGTTAGTTCACTTGTTGTAAAGTATTTCTGATAATTTCCTTCCCATTTCAGGTTCTCAGCATTATTTGTAACAGTTAGTGAAGCATCACTCCTGACAGCAATAAGATGTTCAGTTGAAGGAACATCCGCATTACCACCTTTTAGGCTTGTTGAAGTGCTTCGAATTCCAGCATTCGCACTGCGCAGTAATGGCTGAACAACTTCAGATCGAAATGTCATAGCATGTTTGTCGGCTGCAGCTGTTGAGTTTGAAGAAAAAAAATTGTTTGCATAATTATGTAGTCAGTGTGATAGAGGGCTTAAGCAAGAACTACAGAGCCAATTTTCAACCCGGGGGGGCTTGAAAACGATGCCGAGGGCGTGGGTTTGTAAGGAGGGGTTGGTCTGGGGCCATCCTCCTTCCCCAAATTTTTTTATACTTCAAGTATAGTTTCTTCATACATACCTCATCCACGAGCACTTAAACAAATTTAGGCCATTTCTGAGCTTTCGCGGTTCAAGAGATCTGGCGCCGAATTACTGCGCGAGAACGAGGCTAAGTGCAAAGAAAGAGTGTTAGAGCGAATTGGCGAGAGCTAATGCTCGAAACGTCAGCTTTTAAACCTTTACGGTGGTCAATTTACATTATCAAAACTTGGTTGATAAAACCAAATTACCTTGTTATCCCCACCGACGCAGCACCACAGTTTCTTTAGATACTTACCCCTAGTTTCAAACCATGTCTGGTTGTCTACCTGGTTGCCTTGTGAACTTTAATATATCTTAAGTGAGGGTAAGTTGCTGGACCCTAAACTTTTGAATACTTAGACTTACAGCTTCTCTAGCATTCCAGATTTCTCATCCGCCGTCCCTGTTAAGTTACTGGACATTTCGAAACCCACGTGATTCCTGTTTTCCTGATTTAGGACAGGAATAGAACTGTTGGGGAGGGGGAGGAAATCTTAGTTAAAACCCGCACAGATTGCGAAATTTAACATTCTACACCGGAAAGGATAGTGAAAAACTTAAATTATTTCCTCGTTATGGAGCAATGCTCAGAGTGAACAAGTTCATTAAGTTGATTTGTATCTGTACCTGTTCGCGCACCAGTGTAAGGAAGATCACTTTCTTTTTGTTCCGGATCGCTACCGTTCCCTACCCCGTCAGTTACAATATCATCTTGCCTATCTGGTTAAAAAAAATCCATAACAAACACATAATAATTTCCTGTATCTAAATAACTTTTGGGAATCAGTTATCTTAGCCCACTTTGCCGAGATTCCAGGGCTCATTTATACCAAAAACCCCAGCTTTGTTATTAAAAAAGGGAGGAATACTAACCCTCTCAAAGGTAAAGCATTGTAAGATGTTTACGTTGACGTGATATTGATAGAGTAATCAAAATTCCGCGTTCTCGAACTCAGATCAAACTTTTAAGTATTAAAATACTTTTGCGCGAGAAGGAACCTTTTTTCTATTTAGATAGTACTGTTGTATGTAAATACTAAAAGTATCAAGTAAAGCAATTCGAGTGAGAATCTACATTTTCTTCAATTTATTTATTGTTTTTTTTTCTATCAAACTCGGATCTAAAGACTTAGGTTTGCGACCGATACGACAATGACTGGGCATTATTATCCAGCATTATAATTTTACGCGTAAAGGATAAATTTTGGTATACAGACGTTACTCGTGTATCTAATCAAGTAGAGCAATTCGAGAAAGTTTCCCAATCAGTATCATCATATAATTTGGTTGTCTCTTTTTTTTTCTTCAACAAACTCGGATCTTTAACTAAACTGGAGTTTTCCACCAATACAACAATGATCAGGTAATATTTCTCTCCATCAGTTTAAAACATTTTTCAAAGAATTACCGTCAGTTTCATGGGTTCTGTGGAGTTTACGTGGAAAAAACTGAATCCTCCGCGCAAGATCCATTCTGCCGATTGCTTGAAACCCATCATGTAGCAGGGCCAGATCCTGTGGACCAATGTGTACATCCTCTTCGAGTGCTTCAAATAACTTCAGCCCACTATCTATATTTTCTGTTACTATTCGGGGAAGACGATCCCCCACAGCAAACATCAACCTTTCCAGATCTTTCCTAGACAGTTCCATCGACATATCTATAAGTAGTCTTCTATACGGACTTATACAATTTTCATATTGCATGGAGGCCATCTTCAACTTGTTGTGAGATGTTGAAGCGTTGAAGGCGGAACTCAGACGGAAGCAAATGTAACTAAACTACTTCCGCTTTTACCCAGTTTTTCCTCTGTCTGTGAACGCACGAGATCTGGAGGCGAAAATGATAGAAAATGGCGGCCCGAACAAGTCCCATTGATGAGTTCTTTAAAGAGGAAATGGCTTTGGCTTTTCAAGGTTGATGGCCAAATTACAAAGTATTCAGGGAACCTGATTCTAATATCTCAATGATAAGACAGTTTCTTCTCAGGGAAGTAACCCAGTCATGGCGAACTTAGGATTTGACGACTCTCCATCAGATCAACTAGAGGGAATACAAGTTCATTCTGTTGTCGGTGGCTTGATCTTAAAAGGAAACAGCATCAAAGCGTCTCAATCCCCGAAGCAAAGCGT